CTAAATGACCTAAAATGTCAGCTACAATTTACTGTATTTTTCACTCCATAAGACACACTCCCTGTGCCCCCCAAAAAGTGGGTGGAAATGGTGTGGTCCTTTGGTGAATAGCACCTGGGCCACTGTGGCAGGGTCCTTTTATAGTGCTGAACTCCACCTCTTCCATCTTTGTCATTGCCTGCCTCTTCTGTCTCTTCCGCAGTGCAGGAATCAATAGGCAGAGCTGGCACATGAGAAGACACCTATCTGTGGTCCTCTAAGGCTCCACCTGATATTTTTTTCTTGTTTTCCTCCTCTAAACCTAGGAGCATCTTATGGTCAGGTGCGTCTTATAGTGCGAAAAATACAGGACATTTTTGGCAATTTCACTGGACATAAGTCTGGACATAAAATTGGTAAAAGGACCATAGATGGAACATTAGGAGAAAGAGACCACCATCATCATCAAAGTAAAGGTAACTCATTGAAATGTCAATTGCACCATGTTCCTCAGATGGCAAAGGCACACTCTTTATATCTAAAACCTACCTAATCACATAGACTAGCATAACTGGAGGTTTTCTGGGGAGAGGATTTCCACTAGAAATGTTGGGGCCCAGTGGCTAGGGGAGTCCTATTGGTTAGGTTTTTTGCTGCCTGTTCCTTCTAAGATGAAAAAGACTTGAACAGATATATTTGTTCAAAATGGTATAAGAATTTCTGCACTGCACAGGGGCTAACACTTAAAGACCTCCAAGTTATCTTCCAACTCAATGATTCTATGAATAGGCTTATCTGCACCTCTGCTGCACTATATTTTTGCTACCGTAATTGTTTTTAATTGTGTTGGTTTGCTGTTGTTTTTCTGTTAACTACTGTACTGCTAGCTGCCCAGAGTCACTGCAGATGGATGAGCAAGCATATAAATGGTTTAGATAAATATAAATAGATTTGCTTTTTATTTTGTTTTAAAGCCCAGGATGATGTACTTTAAGCAGTTACATGTCAGGCATAAATCAACAAGTCATTTGTTTTTTCTGTCACTGCAACTTTATCCAGGGAAAACCTTAAGCTGTTGATTTATTCCTGTTATCCAGCTGCCAGAGTTACAAATCTTCTCTCTGTAAAACTGAAGGCCTCAAATAAGATGAAGGCTGGTGAATCTGATTCACCTATCTGGACACTGAAATTTTCATGATTCTTCAAACACTTATCTGAGTCACAAGAGAACATTTATTTCTTAATATAATCAACAAGTTCATAACTCTGCCAGGGGTTGTATTCTGTTTTCCTTTTTAAAATTATCATTAATGTATGTGTATCTGCTAGTTTTCTTAATATAATTTTTCAGATTTGTGTACTAAACTAACACCCAGGGAACAATTAGCATGCTTTACTCAATTTAGCTTCAGAACTGATCTAGGATCTTCTCTGACAAGAACTTCCATCAGGACAGTCAGTTGAATAACTATTTTGTTGAAAGATCTAAATCACATTAATGGAGTCAAGAAAGATGAGAATTCCCAGTAATAGTCCCCTGGTAGAAACGACTCTAGTAGGACTACTAGTTTTGATAGATTACCTCAAAAAGCAGTAAACCTTTATTTGCAGATGAATACAAACAGTTGTTATTATGTGAATATCCCAACTACTGTTTGAGCAGTAGTGTGAAATAGTGAGCCCTGATTTCATCCAGCATGATATTTGCTAAGTTCTTGCCCTGGTTCTGTCCATTTTGGGGGTACGTTAAAGGTAAAGGTTTCCCTCACACATATGTGCTAGTCGTTCCGACTCTGGGGGCAGTGCTCATGGCCATTTCAATGCCAAAGAGCCAAAGAGCCAGTGCTGTCCGAAGACGTCTCTGTGGTCATGTGGCTGGCATGACTAAACGCCAAAGGCACAAGGAATGCTGTTACCTTCCTACCGAAGGTGATCCCTATTTTTCTATTTGCATTTTTACATGCTTACTGCTAGGTTGGCAAAAGCTGGGGCAAGTAACGGGATCTCACTCTGTTACGCAACGCTAGGGATTCGAACCACTGAACTGCTGACTTTGTGATCAACAAGCTCAGCACCTTAGCCACTAAGCAAAAAAAAAACAAAAAACGAACAAATCCAACAATAATCACATTGCTCGCATCTACATAGGACAGTCATAAAAATGTAAACCTTGAAATGTTCCCTGTGAAATGTTGTGTTTAATTTGTGATGAAACTCCCCAGAAACGTTCTTCAAGTCAATAAAAAAACATTTTATTATCTTTTGATATTAAAGTCTACCTCTTGTGAAGTTCTAATAAATAAATATATGTGTATACAAATGAAAGAACGAACGAACAAGGGACATGTATTTGGAGTACCCATAATTTCTGAATTATGATTTGATTGTAGATCAACTATAGATCCTTGCTAATGAATATGGTGAATAACAATGCCAACTGAAAATCTCATTTGCCTTTGTTAATTGTTATTAGCAATGGGTAGAATTAGACAATATAAACATGTTATTTTAATCTGTTTAGAGTTATTACTCATCTATGATCTTTAATAAATTATAGCAAGTTGAATAAAACCTTGCCAAGTTGCTTTTTCAAGAGGAAATGTGAGAATGCCATAGAAATATTCCATATTCTGGATTCAGAAACTCTGCATTATATGATGAACATATTATGGTGGCAATGTAATGGAAATCTAAATAATGTAGATGTGAAAGTATTAAAAGGGGTTCTTCATAACGTTTATTAGTTCAAGCAAAGTGTCCTTCCTTGAAGCATTAAAGCAGCTACATCCTTTAGAAGGTTTACACAGCTACTTCAAAGCCTGCCCCCAGTTGTTTTCATGTGCATATGCATGCACAGGTATTACTGCCATTAATGAAGCAAAACAGCTATAAGTGCAGGTGCACAAACAGCTGGAAGCAACCTTTGAAATAGCTGCTCTAGCCTTTCAAAGGATGTGGCTGTTTAATACCCTTTTTAATATGCACCTTTCAAATACTTTGTATAGCACCACTACATAACAGCTCACTCTCTCAATACGTAGAAATATCAAAGATAGGATTTTATTTTCACTAACACATAAATAAAGTTATTGCTACCAGTGTGGAAAATCCTCCTGTCTAAGCTATTTTATAGTAAATTCAAATACATTTTTAATAACAGCTTTCTTTTGCCCTGTATGTCTCTGTACTATACCTTATCAAAATAGGTGAAAAGACTATCCAATTTAATATCTGTTTGCAGGACTAGGGATTTCTTCATATCTTATGCAGCAAGGAAAGCTTCGGGGGATGGCTTAGCAGCTTTGGCAGCAGGTTTTAAATATCTAGATAGTCTGGAACCTCAGATCCCATCAGGTATGACTTAGTTTATCTAATGTGAAAAATATATTAAGAACTAACTTTTAACCAGCTTGTTTTGGCTGGCACTTTTGAATGAATGCACTTTCCTTGAAAATATTCCAAAGTCTTGATCATGTCTTGCACAGTGCTTAAAGGCCTGTCTGTAAATTAAAATAATTGCTAATCAGTAGGAGAGTGGGAAGTGTATAAATTGGCTGGTACAGAAGATGTGTAAAACTTCATATTTGATTTTTTTTTTAAAAAAATGATTGTGTCTTAAGAACAAAACCAGTCCGATTAAAATTTTACTAAACTGCAATTAAATACAAAACAACTAAGTTACACATAAAGAACACTTAAGGAAAAGAGTGTCTGTATAAATCTTACCTCACAACATCTTTTTTTACATAATTCTTTAGGATGAAAAAGCACAGTCAAAAACTGTACTTTGTTAGGTACACCGGTACCCATCTTAGCTTCAAGGTAAACCAGAGGTGATATTGAGCAGGTTCTGACCAGTTCTAGAGAACCGGTAGTGGAACTTTTGAGTAGTTCGGAGAACCAGTAAATACCATCTCTGACTGGCCCCGCCACCATTTATTCTCTGCCTCCTGAGTCCCAGCTGATCAGTAGGGAATGGGGATTTTGCAATATCCTTTCCCTGCCATGCCCACCAAGTCATGCCAACAGAACCGGTAGTAAAAAAATATTGAATTCTATCACTGAGGTAAATTATGATGTCATGTTCTGCATGGCATTAAAGCCAGTATGGGATCATATAAGGAAAAATAAATCATCCCCCCTTTCCTCTAGCTTTTTTTTTTTGCATTTGATTAGCGCTTTTTTGCAAGCGCTAATCCCAATGGGCAAGCTGTTTTACTGTATTTCATTTCAACATCTCTCCTATTCTTTCCTTTAAAAGCACAAAGCTCCCTAATCAATAGGCATCTGAAGTGAAATGAAAGACCATTTGGATTTCACAGACATATTTTCCAAGCAGTAAAACATAGTTGATGGCAAACAACTGCACAAATTGCTAAATTTTGAATCTTCAAAATGATGTTGTTAACCTACAAAACAATTTGGATCAATTCTCCCCACAGGAGCTCCACCATTCTCACACACAAAATGGGTTGGATGGAGTTTTGTTTAAAATTCTGTTATTGGGAGAACTCAGCAATGAAGTAGAGATCCAAGCTGGTGGATGGATCTCTATGTTGGCCAGGCACTTCCATTGGAGCACTTACTTAAAGAACAAAGAACAAACAAACTTAGGGGACAAAATTTCCTATTGTTAATTTTATTTTTCTATGTACATTTATTTATTTACTTGGTCTATTTCTTTATTGATTAATTTTTATGCTACCCATCTCCCCATAGAGTGGTTTACAGATTACAAATGGATGGCTTACAGATTACAAAACAAATAGAAAAATAATTAAAATATATTAAAATATTAAAACAATGCAGATTAAAATTTTAATAACTGTACAAAACCCCTAGACTAACAGATGGGATATGATCTTCTTTAACTGTCAATCACTCCATAATGAGCATTGCCCCCCCCCGGGCCCCAAGCCAACTGGCAAAAACAAGTTTTAATACCTTTCCGAAGGCTAAAAGTATGGGTGCAGTTCTCACCTTTGATGGTAGATTATTTTACAGGAATGGGACCACAGCGGAAAGCATTTTTCTCTTGACCCTGCCTCCCAGAATTCCTTAGCTAATGGGACATGTAGCTCTTCTGCTGGTGGGAGAGGGATGGGCTAGTCCCATTGGGTAGAGATGGCTCCTCAGATATCCTGGACCCATGCAATATATGGTTTTATATCTAAATAACAAGCTTTATTCAACATTATGCAGAATGCTAGATATAAAGGCAGAGACTTTGGGTGGTTTTTTTCGGGGGGGGGGGAGACAAGTTGATCTTAGCTACCACAATCAAGGAAACAGGATTTTTTTTCAAATAGTTAATAGAATAAAATACATTTGTAATTAATGGAAAGAATGTTGGTCCTTACCTGAACATTTCTTTTTGGTAAACAAGAGGGAGGGGCAACTCCTGGGATATTCTCACAACCTGATTGGTCCAAAGACTGAGGAAAATCCCTTTTAGCTTCCTTCTTTCCCTGTTGGCTCCCAGTTTCTTGAAGTTGCATGATCAGAAGGTGCTGCCAAAAAAACAGACATAGCAAGGGCAAACTACCCCCAGCACCTCACCCCGACTGACTACCTTCTACCTCTAGCTGAGGTGGGATGTTGCCCCTCCCTCTCGTCTACCGAAAAGAAACATTCAGGTAAGGACCAGTTTTCTTTTTCCAGTACACTCGAGGGACAGCCACTCCTGGGACGTACCCAAACTCTGTCCATGGGAGGGAAAACTAGGATTCGGGGGGAGGGGCAGTCACTACCTGTTGTAGAACCCTATGCCCAAAGGACGCCTCAGCCGATGCAAAGGAATCCAGCCGGTAGTGACGGATGAACGGTGTCGGGGATGACCAAGTAGCTGCCTGACAAATGTCTTCAAAGGGAGCCCTCGTGGCCCATGCTGCTGTAGTAGCGGCATTCCGAATGGAGTGGGCCATGATCCCTGAAGGACTCTTAGCTGTAGAAATGGCCTGTTGCAACCACTTGCCAATGGTGGCAGAGGAAACCATGGCCCCCAGGGAGCCAGGCTGAAATTAAATAAATAGGGCCTAAGACCTACGGAAGGCAGATGTGCGTCGTAGATAAATGCGCAAAGTGCAATGAATGTCCAGCTGGTGCCCTAAGTGCTCCCTCTCATGGGATGGAGCCACACAGAAATTAGGAAGGATGATCTCCTGCGCCCGGAGGAAGGGCGAATTGACCTTAGGGAGAAAGGTAGGGTCCAAATGTAGAACCACCCTATCCTGGTGAAACTGAGAGAAGTTGTCCTTTGAAGACAGGGCCCCCAGCTCGGAAATGCACCTGGCTGAAGTCACGGCGACAAGGAACAACACCTTGAGAGATAAGAACCAAAGGTGGACAGTGCTCAAGGGTTCAAAGGGAGCCCCCGTCAAGGCCCTAAAAATGAGGGGCGGGTCCCAAGTTGGAAACCTATGGACAGGAGGGGGCCGTAAATTAGCGGCTCCCCTCAAGAATCTCCTGATCAGAGAAGTCTTCCCCTGGAAGCTCAGAGGCCATCGCGGCCACCTGATGCCGCAAATTGTTATGGGAGAGACCCCCCCATCCACACCCTTCTGGAGGAATTCCAGAATTTGAGCCACCGAAGCCTGGGTGGGAGAAATCCGGAGTGGACTACAAGACTTGACAAATACTGCTTAGATGGAGCATAGTGGAGGGGCATCTGGATGGCTCGATGGTTGCTGTAACTCAGGCTGACAAGTTGGTGCTCCTCAGGAGGCTCTGCTCAAGCACCAGTCAGTCAGGTGGAGCCACTGGGGTTCTGGATGGATCAAGACCCCTGGCACAGGGAGAGCTCCTCCCAAGGAATCCTCCATGGGGGGGGGAGATGGAGAGCTGAACGAGGTCCGCAAACAAAGGCTGTCTGGGCCAGTGAAGCCTTATCAGAATGATGTCTGCCCTTTCTATCACTACCTTCCTCAGGGTCCCTGATATAAGAGGGAGTGGGGGAAAGGCATACAATAAGCCTGGAGGCCATTTGCTCTGGAGAGCATCTGTCTCTTCTGCAGTCCGGGTCAGGAATTGAGAGAAGAATCTCGGGAGCTGAGCATTTGCCAGTGTCGCGAACAAGTTCACCAATGGGTTGCCTAACCTCTGACAAATCTTCTGGAAGAGTTCAGGTAGAATCTGCCACTCCCCATGGTCCACAGTTGCACGGCTTAACCAATCGGCCTGGTGGTTGGCCATGCCCGATATGTGCTCTGACACAACCAATGCAAGATGTCTATCCACCCAGAAACCAAGCTTCAGTGCCTCCAGCCAAAGGTCTCTGGAATGAGTCCCCCCTTGACGGTTTATGTGAGCCTTTGTGGCCACATTGTCTGTCATCAGAAGGATGTGGTGGCCCTCGAACCTTTGAACAGTTGTAGGGCCAGCAAGCAGCCTTCAGCTCCAGCCAATTTATATTGTGTCGAAAGGTCCAACCGGGTCCAATGGCCTTGTGCCATCCTGGAGTCCATAAGCGCTCCCCAACCAAACAGGCTCGCATCCGTAGTGATGGTCACCCGATCCGGCCCCCAGAATCCCGAGCCGTGTTGTAGAGCCAGGGATAGCCACCACCGCAGGGAGACACACACATCCGCTGGTAGATGGACGAGCCATGGAGAGTTGCTCATGTGCTTCCACTGGAACGGGATGAGGGCTCACTGCAGAGTTTGGGAATGAAGCCGTGCCCAAGGGACAATCCCTATGCACGATACCATCTTGCCCAATAGGCAGAACAAGGTCAGGATGGAAACTGACCACCTTGAAGGTACCTGCCTTGCCAGAGCCTGCAGATTGACGAGGCATCCCGAGGATAGTCAAACCTTGCCTTCCATGGAGTCTATCACCACCCTCAGGTGAAAGATCTTTGTAGAGAGCGAGAGATGACTTTTGGGGAAGTTGACAGAAAACCCCAAGGCCCCTGTAGGGTCTGAATGGTGAGTTTGAAATTGTGAACAGCCCGGGTCTGGCATTGGGCTTGCACGAGCACGTCGTCTAAGTAGCATTGTAGTCTCACCGGAACAGAGCAAAGCTGAGCGGCCAATGCCGCCAGGTCCTTTGTGAATGTGCGCGGGGCTGAAGCTAACCCAAAGGGGAGGGCTCTGTATTGGAAATGGAGTCCATTGTGGGAAAAATGAAGAAAACTGCGATGGGCGGGGAGGATGGGAATGTGGAGGTAGGCTTCTGTCAGGTCCACTGATGCTAGGTAGTCCCCCCGCCTGATGTCCTGCAGAATGGACCTGAGGGATGACATTTTGAATTGTCTGTACACTAGGTACCAATTGAGACGCTTGAGGTACAGTATCACCCTCCAGCGCGCAGAGTTCTTCAGAACAATGAACAGATTTGAGTAGTGACTCAACCTGCATTCCATGTCCGGGACCGGTTCTACCGCCCTGATGTCCAGCAGATGTTGTATGGCTAATGACATCAGATGACAGCATTCCAGGTCCCAGGATGGCAGAAAGGTTCTGAAGAAGGTTGGGGGCATGGAGAGGAACTCCAGCTGGAGTCGTTCCTGACCGTGGTCCTTATCCAGGCATCTGATGTTACGTGATCCCACTGATCCGTGAAGAGTTCCAGGTGGCCGCCTATGGGAAACGCCCGGTTGGAGTCATTTCCCTTTGCGGAAGGGGCAGCACCCCCCAACGAAAGGGTCACCTGACTGGCCCTGGTATCTACCCCTGTTGAGGTAGTAGGGCTTCTGGAACTGCCTATTAGACCTATAAGGGGCATATCTCTGTTGATAATACTCCTGTTCAGGGGCCTTGAAGGACTGTCTATGGTAAGAGGACGGACGGTTGTCTGTCTTCTTGGTGTTGGTAGGCAAGACCTTCTTTTTATCCTTATTCTCTACGAGAATTGGGTCTAAGGATTTGCCAAATAGATTAGTCCCAGTGTATGGGGCAGCCAACAGGCTCCACTTGGACTTGTTGTCCATTTGTCAATTGCGTAACCATAACAATTGCCTGGAAGTCACCAAGGAGGCTAAAGCTTGGGACGAGTACTTTGCAGCATCAAAAGGGTGGCATCCGCCGAGAACTGTGTGGCCGCAATTATTTTTGTGATATCTTGGTAAAGTTACTCGTCCTGAACAGGAATACGATCCTGTAACTGACGGAGCCACATGACCGTTGATCAGTTGAAATAAGAGGCAGCTGCAGCAGACTTTACAGCCCATGCAGAAATTTGAAATTTTTACGTAATGTAAGTTCTGCCTGCTTGTCCTCCGGTTTCAACTTATCAGCCACATCCCCTGACACTACGGATGAAGCATTGGCTAGGGTGGCTACCATGGTGTCCACATTGGACAATCGAAGCGCCTGAGAGAAGGCCTGCTCCATGTTGTAAAAGCGATGTTGTTGCTGCCCAGGTTGGGAAAGATGGAAGGGCAAGCCCACTGATTCTTGACCACCTCTAGAAAAAGGGGAAGAACTGGGACCTCCTCCTTATTGGTCACTGTATTGGAGAACATGACCAAATTAGGGTATCTAGGTGGAGGAATGGCAGGATCCCCTGTCCCGACCTTAGTGGTCTTCCTGGCTTTGTGTATCAAGGGTTTAAACATTGGAGGAACAAAGAGATTTGGGAAGGCTGGGGGATCTGGGAGGACAGTCTCTTCATCCTCTGAAAACCCCATGTCCTGATGGGGGTCATCCCCTAACACTGAACCCTCACTGACTACTGAGGGAGAAGGACGCCTTGTTTGGTGATGGTCTGAGGAGCGCCTGGCCTGGAGAGAAACCTGGGACCTAGGTGCCCTAGGCGAATGTCGTTCCCTCAAGGAAACAATACCCTTTGAAATGGCTGAGGAAATCTCTTAATGCTCTCAGGGAGCAATTCAGGATCCTCAAACTAATCATCCGAATGTTCCCGAAGCAAGACCCTGTGGAACTAAGGTGTAGGGGGGAAGGAAATCCCGGCATGAACCCTCCAAAGGATCCCTGACCACCTCCCCGGACCCTTGAGGCAAGAGACAGGAGGGGATGGTGAAATTTCCAGGCCAGATTGCCTGCATGCCCCAGTGGGGGAGACAGAAGAGGGAAAAGGGCTGAACCAGTATAGTGGTGGCAGATGCTTCTGCGCATGCGCAGAAGTGTTGAGCATGCACAAGTCCATGAGTGAACCAGTAGAAAAAATAATAGAAACTTATCACTGGTGTACTGATGATTTCACTTAGTTTGATAATGAAATGTCTGCAAGGAAACTTCTAAGCTCATAGAGCACCAAGGATCCCACAGCTCAACATCGAGTTACAAATATTATCTTCTATTGGCACAACATATGGCTAATTGGACAACTTCATTCCACTTCAAAATGAAAAAAGGAGAAAAAACTCCCTGGGGGATATTCTCATCTTGTTTCAAATCCTAATTACTGCTAGCAAACGACCTGAATTGTTACTAATATGTATTAGAAAGCAAATCTATTTACAAAACAGACATAGCTGAATAAAAGGCATGGCGTACCTTAAAAGGAAGAAACTAAAGGGTGAAAAATCACTTTAAATAGCTGCCCTATTCAGTTGTGCAGCAGAAATAGAAATTGAGATCTATAAAATATATATATTGAGTTGAGTTGCAGATCAGAAATTAGAGTACAGGTTTATCATCTTAGGTAAAGATCAGAAAAATACCTCCTAAAAAGAAAGAAAGAACACCAATTTGTTGGGTTTTATTTTTAAGAAAGCTATTTCCTACCAACTTTGAAAACAAGAATTCCTGTAGTGATCTGATTGGTTTCTTTGTGATTGTTTTGGCTCAGCACCTTCAACCCTCTTTAGTTGGGAGGCTAAATGTTAGCCTAACCACTAGCTTCAGAGGGTTTTCTTATTATTATCCTTCCCCTTTGTGTTTCCAATTTTAGAACGAAGTATAACTACATTTCAGCAATGTTCACCTTTTATTATTTACTTCTTAGTTGAGAATTCAACTTTATTTTCAGAAGGATAGTGAAAGACTATTGTGCATATCTTGTTTGGTTTACCTTTTATAGGTGATAAGAACTGGACCTTCAAAAAGTCCCTTTTTTAATTTGGAAAGATTTTTTGGGATGTGCCTGCCACCTGAAATAGGATTACTTTTAATGAAAAATGAGCTAAGGTGCTATAAATAAATAAAAATAAACAATAAGCACTATATCTTTTGATTTTAAAAGCAAACAACAATTAAAATGACATAGCATTAATAACAATGTAATAGTAGTTCCTGACTTATGATTGTAAAATTCATTGTTCAGAGAAATATCATGATTTTATGAACTTTTTTCTTAGTTGTTAAGCAAATCACCTGTTAAACAGTGGTCATTAAGGGAGACCTCACATGACTGTGCTCGTGGCATGACAAAACCGCGCTCGACTAAAGAGTGCCCAATTAAACCGCGTCGCTGATGTCATCAGCAGGGCGACAACAGCGAGC